TATATATATATATATATATATATATATATATAAAATGTATGTATATGAACATATATTTTGAAAAATCTAAATTGTATGTGTGTGTATGTATATATATATATATTCAGATTTTCTAAATTAACAATTTAAATTTTTTAGGTCAACTATCCTTCTAAATCGGGTACAATTTTGGTAAAATAATATGCTTAATTTTTTTCTCATTAAGATTGCAAAAATGTTTCCAGTGTAGGTTTGAATGCAACACTTTGGCATTTTTGTTGTTTGTAAGTTGGTGTCATTGTCACATCTAAACTTGATGAAAGGCCTGTTCTTTCCCTTCTGTACGAAGCCTGACTGCGCTGTTATGTCTGTTTATTTTGCTTTATTATGCCAGTCTAAGCCTGTTAATATTAAGCTCTGCCCTCCACACTGCCGTTCAGCCATTTAAATGAAAAAGCACTTAAGAGCTCATTTACTCTGGCATTCCTCCCTTCCGTAGATATTAAGTTTTATGGATAAGCTTCTGTTTTGTGTTATTTCCCTTCCAAGTCATAAATCTTTTTTTTATAGAAGTGACAGTTATTAAAATGCTTGAATATTTAGCCAAATGGAAACCCCTTCCAGCCAGAATAAGTCGTTTTTGATGCTTGCCCAAACAGTTGGATCTATACCAGTGAGGGAGATTGATCAGTGGTCAGCTCCGTATAGCTGGAGGACACCTGTTAATGGAACATACTGGACATCTCCCACTGCTCTGTTTTTCAGCTCTCCGGCCAACCCTGCTGAGAGGCTTTTTGTGTTTCAAGCCTGTTTCATGAGCACCAAAATCGTTTCAGGCATCTCTTTATTTTTTCCTATTCATTTTGGTGTGCTTATTTATTTATTTAGATTCATTTGCACGTGAGGGGGTCGCCCTTTCTCATAGAGTCATGCTGCGGCCCATCTGATCACTCTGTGTGGGGATCTGTTATGCTAAATTCCCAACTTCATTGCTCAAGCCTGCTTGTTTTTTTCTCTGCATGGGTCAGAATGTGAGCACTGAGCCTCTCAGAATGACATGCCCGCTGAGCGCTAATCGTTTCCCTTCTTTTGAACGTGAACAAGAAGTTTGAAGAGATTTTGTTTGTCATTTGTGGTTGATTTTATTTTTTTTGCCTTAAATTAGGACTGTCAATTTTAACACATTAATTTAGTATGATTGATTATATAAAAAATAAGGCACTAAGACAATTAATACAATTAATCATGTCCCCTGACTGACTGTGTAAATTAAATTACAAGGAAATTGTCCGACAATTGAAGCAGCACTGACTCTTCTGTGCCAGTCTGTTTAATGAATCATTCAAAAGGGCTCAATTATTGAATTGTTATTACAAATACTGAATTATTATAATAAATAAAGAATAACTCAACTGCATAGTTTGGGCCCTGACCTGTTGTTAATTTGTAAAATAATATTTGGAATTAAAATTGTGTATAATATTATTATTATTGTAAAAATAAATCAATAGTGTATAATAATAATAATAATAAGGTCACACTTTATTTTAAGGTCCAATTCTTGCTATTAATTAATTATTAACTAAGACTTTTGCCTCAAAATCCTAATTACTGCTTAGTAACTTAGTTGTTAAGTTTAGGTATTGGGTAGGATTAGGGTTGCAGAATATGTGCTTTATAAGTACTAATAAATAGCCAATACGCTAGTAATATGCATGCTAATAAGCAACTAGTTAATAGTTAGAATTGTTCCCTATTATAAGTGTTACTTATTTTGCAGTATAGTATTTTATATTTTACATTTTAAATATAATATTTTACAGCAATAGCTGAGAAGGAATTTCTGTTTTATGTAAGCAAAATGGACAGTGTAACGAAAATATACCCAAATGAATAAAATCAAATCGATTTGGATCAAAACAACAGCTTGTGAATTGGGTCTGTTATTTTTAACTTAAACAAACAAAAAAAAAAATCATTACTTGAATTAAAATAAAGATGAACTGAAATTAAAAAATTAATTAGAAATGTTGTCTTGGCAACTACCTGAAATAAACCTAAAATATATTAAGATATTAAAATGATGAAAACTAAATAAAAACTAGACATTTTAAAAAGCAAAAAAAAAAAAAACTGATAAAAATGACACCCAACAAAATTTCTAAAACTTTAGCTAAAATAAAAAAAATTTAAATAGAAAATTAAAAATATTAACAAAAACTATAGTACATCAATGATACTAAAATAACACTGTTGTGAATTATTGATACACAGCCCTCATGACTATATCAGTTAATTTTTTTGTTTCTTATACTGCCCTAATCTACATCCTTTTTTTAGACATTGAATGATGAAACCCTGTTGCAGTTTTGCTTGAACCTTTTTAATGCAGTTAAAGCATTTAATTTCACCTTTTGATGCAGCGCTCACCTTGGTTCTTATGGTCGTTTTTGGGTGATTTTCCCCTCTCTCCGTCCGTTTTGTGAAGGCCATTTCAATCCATGTTTAGTTGCGTGAAATATCTTCCACTTCCACCCTGCAGCTCTTATCCATAACTCTGCCTGAAGTAGTGCCACTGGTCGGGAACAAGAGGGTGATGGCTGAGGTCCCATACAGTGTGATGTAACACGAGCTGTAAGAACCCTGCAGTCTGGGCCTGCCCTCATCTCTCTGGGTGGAAACGGCCTGGATGATTAGACTTCCGAATAGTGCAAGTCATCCCTCATGATGGTTCTACCTTGACCCGTCAACTTTTACTGCCTTATCTGTCTCTGATTTTGTCTGCGTTGTAAAGCATCTTCAGTGTATTTAGTGACCTGGTGAGGAGTTAGATAAACCGATAAACTCAGTCCCAGTGCATTAATGAGACACACGGTAAGTAGGTGAGCTGAATTAATGATCCCAGATGGAAGTTTCCTGTTGTCCCTGTGCATGTTTTCAAAGATATATGCTTTGCTTTCAGGGCCACTCTCGAGTCAGCGCCTCTTGCAGGAGACCATGTGAGTTTTCTCACTGTGTGTTGTGGTTGTTTGTGGTGTTTCCACTGAAGCATGGCATGCTGTTC